AGCGTTTTAATCGGTTGCGCCACGAAATACTGTATGCGTCTCTCAACAGTGGTCTTCAGGGCAGTTTCATCTGTGATGTGATTCTGTTCGAGCACAGTATCCTTTTTCTTCAAGTTATCATGCCGAACACTCGAAAAAAATCTTACGTAAGAAAACTGACTCACTCCGATAGATGTGCAAATCCTCTGAATCTCCCTGGACATAAGGGTAAAAATTTGCGGAAAATTCCGAAACTTATCCAGCAGGTATTTCCGAATTTACCGAAAGACGCTAAAATTTGTCATCGATGTAGAAAATCATGCGACGGTGCTGATGATTCACATTCTGCTTCAAGGGCTCCACTACAACAATCAGATTCTGAAGATAATGCAATCAAAATGGTGCATTCTCGAGACAATTCTTTGAGCACAGAATCAGTAGATTCTATTGTAGACTCGGATGTCGATGAAGTTACACCGCAAAGTAAGAAACAATGTACATCTAGAGAACAAGAATTAGAAGAACTACTAACAGGGCTCAAAGAAAAGTTCTCAAGTTTTCCTCCGCATGATCCTCTGCGTGTGCCTATCCTTACGATATTGCCTGAATCTTGGAGTTTACGTAAAATAGTGGATGAATTTGATACATCGTTCCGAATGGCAAAGAAAGCCAAAGATTTGCGAAAGTCCGAAGGAGTATTGGCATCACCGTACCTCAAGAAAGGGAAGACTCTACTAAGTGAGACGATCGAAACAGTAAACAAATTCTATGAGAACGATCAGAACAGTAGAATCATGCCACATAAAAAATCAACGGTTACCGTAACCACCAATGGGAAAAGGGAAAAAATGCAGAAGCGTTTACTGCTATGTGATGTAAAAATCCTACACCAGCAATTTAGAGAAGAGTTTCCCCAATATCCGATTGGTAAGACTAAATTCGCCGAACTGAGGCCAAAATGGTGTGTACTTGCGGGATCATCGGGCACCCATAGTGTATGCATATGTGTAATCCACCAAAATTTCAAATTAATGCTCGAAGCCATTGACTTACCGAATCTTACCAGAAATCTAGAACATCAATTGAATGATTATACTGATTGTGTAAGTTTTATTCTGTGCAGCAACACTTCACCTGATTGTTACCTGAATAAATGTAATTCGTGTCCACGAATTAAGAAACTGTCGAGTTATTTTTCTGAAGCCTTTGCCCAAACCAACACTTCTCATGTAATCTTCAGTGCTTGGCAGTCAACTGATCGTTGCACGCTAAAAAAGGAATGCCTCTCCACAGATGATTTTACAGATGAACTATGCAATCGATTGGTATCATTCATACCTCATCATTTCATCTCTAAAATACAAGCGAAGTACATCTTCGAACGAAAAGAACTTCTACGAAATGATGAGGTTCTCGTGTATAGTGATTTTTCAGAGAACTACGCCTATGTCGCACAGGATGCTGCGCAAGCTTTTCATTATAATAATGCACAATGTACTGTTCATCCTATTGTTTTCTATTATAAATCTGGAAACGAACTTATGCATCGAACGATAGTATTATTGTCCCCATGTACAAATCATGATGTTGCCGCGGTTTATTTGATGCAGCAGAGAATCATACCAGAAATTCGTACGTTTTGTCCCCAGG